TGTTGTGCTCCATAGTTGTTTCGGTGGAACCGGAAGTCAAGCCGTGCTGCTGCATCTTGGTCTTGGTCTTGGTCGTTGGAAGGACTACGAAGTGCTACCAGGTGTAACGGATTATGTTGCTACCGTCACTAGCGTTCACGTAGCGGTAAGGAAGCCCACAAGCAAGATAGACTTAGCTCTTAGCTAAATAGACTATGATTTAATTTAGGAACAGGGCGGGAGTCCTAGACCTCTGAGAACCACTCCTATACAGGTCGACTCCTGACTGGCTTTAACGTTTTTCTTTTTAACTAATCAGAGAGCGACAACACAACACGTGCTAACCGCGGGCTTTTTCTACCTAATTTTGTAAAAGACCTACCTACTTATGTAATTGGAGAGGGTCCATTACACCTGATCGCGGAGAGAAGCCGACTTTACCTTGCTGATCCAAGCTCGCGCGCGGTCTTCGTCGTCATCCTTCCCGGAGAACTCCTTGAGCTCCGACATCGCGGAGACGTGGATGCGTGAAGTGATCCCTGGCGTTACGATGGCTGTAGCGGCTGTAGCCACTGTCGGTTGACGGGTGTTAGTGAGGTCCAGCTCGTCTGGATCGTACTCACCATGCTCCGTGCCAACCGATTCCATATCGACGTCGTGCTGTTCGGTCGCCGCTACCGGTGCAGCGGTTGGCGTCGCTTATACAGTGCGCTGCCCTTTCAGGAAGCGCTCCATCGCTGAGCTGAAGATCGTCCGCAGTCTGCTTGTGCTGGTCGCCCATCGTCGGCGAGTCCGCCTCGACTTCCGCCTTGCCGCACGATCCGGCCGAGACTGCAGCAGTGACATGCCCGACGGTCCCGGCTGCATCCGTTCGTAACCGTCGGTGATGTCCGAGTATGCACTTGAAGCTGCGGAGGCTAGCGTGACTGCTGGAACGATCCTGTCTATGACCCCGTTTTAGGGGGTTGGCCGGTAGCGGGCTTGGACTGTCTTGATCTGAGTCTGCCACTCGCCGACCAGCGCTCTCAGCTTCTCAAGGAGCTCCGCCTGTGTGTTCTGGATCGTTTTGAGATACAGATAAAACAGATCCTTTGCTGCAAAGGGGTCTCGCGTGACACCGGCTTCTATCAGAAGATACAATATGGCTTTCACAGCCTCCAGCTTGTTCGTCGTCTCAGGTGGCGGTGTCGCCGGTCCTTTCAGCGATCCAGACATCAGCGGCTGTACAATCTGCATCATTGGGTCTTGGTCAATAACATTTGAAGCTCGTGCTGGTTGTATGCTTCTTCCAGCTGATCGTCAGTCAGACCAAGTCGCTGCGATCTCACCACGGCTATCGGAGTCTGAGGCCAATGGGGTCTTTCGCTTCTTCCGCGACGCTTTCGGATTCGTCTTCTTCGAAGTCTTCTGCGTTGGCTGAGCGATGGTTGATTAGGTTCTGTGGTGTAGCGGGATCAGCAAAATCTGCGAGATTGCTGGATCCAACTTACCAACAGCGCCCAGACACCGACTAACGGAGGGGGTCCCCCGATGATCCGTGATCTGGTCAACTTTCCTCACCTTGTGTACCCGTCGGTAGGGCAGGATCTTTCTCTATCGGTAACTTCCGAAGCGTTCAAGTGGTGAAGCTTGAGTGTCTTGGCGAAACGTGGGGATGGGGTGGAGCAGTAGTGGTAAGATCTTCACTCTGCGTCCGTGGTTGGTTCTGGATCCTAAGTGAATATTCGTGCTTGGTGGATCCAGGGCCTAGATCTGGGATCTGGTCGTAGGGTTGCCTTGCGGGTGTGTTCCCTTGCCTTTGTTTTCCTTTGCGTCGTACTTGCCGCCTACTGTGACGGGATCTTGAGAGTGGAGAACCTCTAGGGTGTTACCGGCCAAGTAGTAAATTCGGTTAACCTTTCGGATCTGCCCGTGTAAAGGAAAGCTTACTAGGTTGTAGGATCTGGCCAATGTATTATCCAGCTATCACTACCAACACTAGGTTCGCAATTCCCAACCTTCTCCGAGCTCGTACAGCCAATGTAGCTCCGATTCTTGAGGGCAGGAAGGCACTTGCGTGATACTGTGCAAATTGAAGTCTGTATTGATACTTAAGCCTATACCTGCCTGGATTTCTACCTTCTATGTCTTTTACCTGCTAAATCCCTTACCAGGCTCGGCTGCATGTCCTTTTTCTCCTTGACCCATCATCCCAGCTGTATTATCATCAGATCCACCGAATCCATGGCGTAATCATTATGGTCGTCACATTATGGGTACACTTGTCCGGATCCAGACCACCTTGATCGACCTCACTGCAAGTGTACACTCAGCATGGATCTGGGTCCTCCAGTCTCCCAACATTGTCTTACGACAGGTTGCGGTCTTCATCACCCCACGAAAGCTCGAGATCCACTGCATCCAACATCCCCATATCCCATATCCAAATCACTCCATGTGAGATCCTCACCCTTTGGACCCGGACTCGGAAGTGTGGGATCTGAGACATATCGTGGTGGATCTTGCCTTCTTGTTAGTCGTTGATACCAGATTCACCTTCAGATAACGTCTACCATCCTTTCTTCGCTGGATTCCCACTTGATCCACCTGCACAAGGTTTATTGCATATTCCCTAGGTGCAATTCGGTGAGGATGGATCCGATTCTCCACGTGGTGGATCCTGCCTTCCCATACGTTATCCATGCCAGATCCATCGTCAGCTCCTACAGGACGCCACTTTATCTTGGTCAATCCACTTCGAATAGCGTGGATCCATGCCGTGCAATCCCCGGTCCACTTGGTGTTGTCACTAATCTGGGATAGTGACTCCTTCTCAGATCCACTCTCTTATTTCTGAGAAAGCACTTCGCCCCAGTTCTTTCTGTTTTCACCTTAGGCTCCTCATCAAGCAGATCACGATTCGCATCGCGATCCGCGGTGCCTCCAGAGGAGGCATGGGGAGGAGGCTATGTTTTCTCTTCACGAAGGTATTCATCTTCGTTTCTATCGGCAGAGCTCCTCCCAGGGCTCTGTCGATCTGCTGATCCTGCTTCATTCAGTCTTTGGCGACCCAGATTACGACGACGCACCCATCCTTGGTTTCAACTTGATTGGCACTTCCTCTTCTTCTTGGGAATCACGGTGAAATTCCGAGTCACTAGAATATTTGGGCACACGCACCATTGTGGTGGGGTGGTTCTCGCAAAAAATTGCGATCCAATCTCACACACCGTGCCCCGGACTACCGACTGACGGAGGGGGTACTTTGATAACGGTGGTGTTACTGAGGGCTCACCTTGTGTAGGGCTAGTTACACTCCTCTGGTGGACTTGAAGGGACGCTTGGCTTGGGTTGTTTCCGTCTTGGCGGGACGCAGGATGATTGGGGGTGGTGTGGCGTGGAAACCCTTCAGGCTATGCGCCAGGTAGGGTGTCGACCTTGATCGACGTGGGGTGTTGTTATTCCTTTACGGGGGCTTGTTCCTTTCCTTGCTAGACTTGACCGCTTCCTATAGCGAGGGCGTTGAGGGCAAGAGTGAAGACGATCGACCGACCAAGCTGCAAACTCCGGTGACTGACACGCGTACTTGGTTGACTTAACTTGATTACTGTATGGGCCAATATACCTCCGCTACAGTTTCGAAGTCTGATACCGAAGGCACTTGTTGCTGATGAGGCAAATTCCACTATGTTAATACTTTAAGTCTTTGCGCTCCACTACCTTGCGTATCCTATAATCATCAAACTGGTCGACAGGGAACAAATCAGTCAATCTACTGAGTAGATCGCGTATCGAAATGACTTTACATTACCTTACCGATCTTGTTGATTGCGTATGCGCTCGCTGATGCGCCGTCGTCACTGGCGGCCTTCCAACACCCGATCGGGTCGTAGCCCATCAATCCGCTTCCAACTTAACCCACGGACGCTTCACCACAACTTTTCTTCTTGCTTCGACTCTTCTTCAGCCGTCTCCATTCTGGCGATAGCAGCTAAAAGCTTTCCCACCTGCTTTCCTGGTTCAGTCGCACCCATTTCCACTGACGCTACCTTATCGTGCGTCATGGCCTCGGGTACTGAGCCTTCCACATGTGGTTGGTAACGAGTTGCCGCCGTCGTCTCTTGGTGCATCGACACTTCGTCTCCATTGTGTTGCTCTCGCGAGTCTCCGCGTCTTTTGACTTCCTGCGTACAGCTCTCCTCATTATTTCACGGTAGTCACTGTTGATGGACGCTCATCCATTGACGAATGCACTGATCTTGCTGAAACATGCCTCTGTCTGACCACCATGTAGCGAGCTCTTACCCGGTTGCCGAGTGCATTATTTCTCATGATGTAAGAAGGCTTCACATTTATAATCAAGATATCTGCTGTGCAAAATGCATGTTTATGGATACTGTGGTTCGCAACCTGCTCATCGCTAAGCTGTTTATTACTTCGGAGTAGTTAAGAATACAAGTACGAAAGCACGGGAGGCTGCTTCGAGCAATATATAGCAACCTCACTTTTTCCAGTTCGCTCTGTTGGATGTTTCAAGCATATGCTGCTCTATCCTTAATTCTGAATCATGTGTCCTATTATGGAGGTATTCAAAACGAGGTTCGTACTCGATTCGATCCGAGCACTAGAGCACCTATGTCTAATATGCAATATATATATGAGACTACGTCAAACAAAATGAGTTATCGAGATAATCGAGCTTACAGTTGGCCAATTGATTTTCGCACTTAACCGAAACCGTGACATTTATTGTAAACTTCCATCGAAAAAACTGTAAATGTACCCTTATTCAATCGCTTTTAACAAGGGCTTTTAAATAGCACTTAAATCTTTAAAATTGAAAAACATTGAGCTCACAACACTCCTAAATGTATCGTCAGTTCGAGGGCCCATAGATGGAGATAATATTTTTGAGCGACCACAACTTCTTCAGTTTTAAGCATTCTGTAGCTTATAAGGGCTCAAGAGATAGAGGATGAAATAGATCATCGGGGATTGGCCAAAAGTGGCTCATTTTGGGGGTGCAGCGATAGCCGCCCAAAAGCTACCCAGGAGGAACTAAAGCATCATGTCGTCTGGCTTCGGATTCAAGGGCCGTGAAGGCCGGTGCTACCGGTTCTGGAAGGATGTGGAGCAGTGCAGCGTACGTATTTGAGTCTGGTGCGTGTGGTGGTGTATGTATTCGTGTTGCTAATTGAGGTCTTCTCGCTGTGGTATTGCTGTAATTATTCCGTTCCTGCGAGCAGAAGGACACAGAGTACTCTGGCCAGTGCGGCAAGCAGGTTGAAGACTATCTTGAGTGCCTGCACCACAGGAAGGAGGTGCGGCTGGAGTTGCGATGGAGTACTCTTGTCTGCTTGCTTTTCTGGCCACTCACTGTCCAACGCCTTGTGTGTACAGCTGACGCGCATGAACGTGGTGATCACTCAGAAGGAGAAGGAGGAGGCTGCTGCTCGCAATGGTGGCGAACACGGACATGGTGGTGGACATTGAGTAAAGAACTCGCTACTCGGGGTCTAAAATGCCGCTAACAGGAATCGAGATCGCCTAGTAGACGACGACTTTTTACCTCGTCAATGAAAAGAGTGAAAAGCAGGAGGCTGTAGCGCTGCAGTGTCTCGTCTTTAAATACAGAGATACCCTATGGAATCGTATAGCTATCCTATCTACCTGCGTTGGGGTGCCGTCGTAACGTGGGACTGGCAGAAGGCGGGCTCAGGGATCAACTTTGACTAATGACCGTCGACCTGCCCGTCGGTCAGCTACGTCAAATCGATGTCCCATGCGTGTTTCTTATCTCACTCTCGACTCGCCCCATCGGTTAGGTGTCGACTTGATACTTAGCAAATTACTATTACATGTATCCGGATAGCAAGTTATTTACTTCAAAGCAGGAAAATTAAAGTACTACTTCAAGTACTGCACAGTAGTATTTGGGTTAACGACTCAAAGGGGCGATCTCTGCGAAACGACCGACCTTCCTGCAATCGGCAATACTCTCAGACAGCAAGCAAGCTGCCCTTGGCTAGCACAGAGGGAGCTGCTCAGTTTTCTTTTTCAATCTGGCCTCGAGCAAAAGATCTGCCAAGTGCCGCAGCGCTCCCGCTCTGCGATCTTAACGAGCCGTTACCATGCACCGCTTCGAGGAGATCAAGTGCATCGGTCGCGGCAGCTACGGCTCGGCGCACTTGGTGCGATCTCGACAACCCGACTGTCTACACGAACGCTTCGTGGTCAAAAAGATCCCCATGGAGCTGCTCTCGGCCAAGGAAAAAGACCAGTCTTTCCGTGAGGTGGAGCTGCTGGCCAAACTCAAACACCCGAACGTGGTCGAGTACATGGAGAACTTCGTGGTGGACAACGTGCTGCATATTGTAATGGCCTATTGTGACGGTGGAGATCTGGCTGGCAAGGTGAAGCACCAGCAAAAGATCCGAGAACAAATTTATGCCGGACCAGACGACGACATCTCCGACCCGAGCGGCCATTTCCCTATCAGCCAAGTGCTGGACTGGTTCGTGCAGATGGCGATGGCCATCAAATATCTGCACGGCCAACGTGTGTTGCATCGAGACTTAAAGACTAGCAACGTGTTCCTCACGACAGAAAATGTGGTCAAACTCGGAGATTTCGGCATTGCCAAGACGCTCGACTCCACTCTAGATCAAGCCAAAACTGTCGTTGGAACACCATATTATATGAGTCCCGAGGTCTGCGAGAGCAAGCCGTACTCGTACGCGAGCGACGTGTGGTCACTAGGCTGTGTTCTGTACGAGATGCTGGCACTACGCCACGCCTTCGACGCCCCTAACATACTGACGCTCATTCTCAAGATCGTACAGCAAGACTTCGCTCCTGTACCTCCACATTACGACGCGGAAGTATCCGATTTGTTGCGTAAGTTGCTGGACAAAGATCCAGAACGGAGGCCCAGTATGGAAGAGATCTTTGCTATGCCATACATCCGTCGTCACATGCAGGGTCTCGTCGCTTCCGGTGGCTCCTTAAAAGTTAAAGTGATAAACCCCGTGGCTCGAAGGCCGCAACACGGTTCGGCTTCAGGGGTGGGTAGACGTCGGTTACACCCAAAGAATCTCTCTGCACGTCGCTCCTCAGGGGAGAAAAGGAGATTGCGTCTGGCAACTCAAGCAGCTGTAGCTCCGATGCAGTGGATGCCGATTAAATATTTTGGGGACGAAGCTGACGATTCAGACGCCCGCAACGAGCTGGAGCTACTGGATTCAAGTATTGTAGAGGAACCGCAGTTAAGTTTCCGTCGACCGGAACGAAGCACTACACCTGAACCACTGGTGTTTGCGACAGAAGGAAAACCTCATCTGAACACTTTGGGAAATGATGAGGAAGATGAGGTAGACGAGCAGCTTTCTGGCTCCGTGCCGTCACCGATACGTCCGCATCCTCGACGAGCAAGAGATGGACAATCGGTCGCTTGGGGGCTGGAGGTATCTGCTGGTAGAGCTCAGGTGAATGGAACCTGCTCCGCTATAAATGAAGACGATGACGATGACGATTCGCGCTTTCATGCGGAAGCGGAGGAGCTGATGAATCCAAACTTTCAGAGTGAGTACAGCGAGGAGTGTATCGACAGCTTGCAGATCTATTATGGCTCCAAGGAAACCAAGAATGGCTCTAATATCCGAGTAGCACGGCAACTTGCCAGAGGAGTCGAGCTGTCCAAGACGCCAACAAATGCAGAAGACCATTGGTCGAATTCGACGCCACGAGTACAAGACGTGCAAGATAACGGAGACGTTTTGGAACTATCGACTTTGTCACTAGATGACGATGGTTCGGAAGGCACACGAGCACCGTCACTCAGTGAAAGCTCCATGCTGCGTGAACTGGAGCTAGATGCAGATAGCGATGGCGGTGGTGCCTCTGCTGATACCTCATCGAGTGAATACGAAGCCGAAGAGAATTTTTACAGTGACGACTCATCGGACTTCTTTGATCAGAGCGGAACGCAGTACAGTGACGACTTCGAAGACCCCGACGCTGAAGTTATTGAGTATGCAGACGAAGAGTTCGTGAGTGAAGGCGAGGAACGGAGAAATGGACGAGAAGGAGAGGAATCCACTAACGACTCGCAGACATTCACTCCGTACAGACCGGCAGGAGACGGCGGCAGTCCCTTTGCTCGAGTACCGAAGCTTGAAGGTCCAACCGAGGTAAAATGGGTCATGAGGAATTTAGCACAGAGTCTCATGCTGACTCGAGACGATCTACACCCGTAACGCACAAAGTGTCAACGTGTGGCAAACAAGGATTGGAATCATTCATTCCTTTGGCTTGCTGTATAACATGTAAGAAACCCCGTTGTATTTTCCTTCAGATCCCCGATACGCCACAGCAGGTTCAGTCTAAGCACTTTGCGAGGTCAAACTTTCGTTAGGAGACGCTCGAAATGCTGAAATACCGCCCTCGCCGCCTTGAATTTCGAGAATCTCGCCCTTCGGCAAAAAGTACACTTTTCCCTTGGACATATTTCGACCGTTGGCACTGCCTAAAGGTTCTACAGTCGACCCGCTGCCCGAAATGACGAGCACAAGGGAGTCTCCTTTTCGTGCTGGTAGCGCATATCGCTGGCGTGGCATCAAGTCGACGGCTTCGACCTCAAACTCTGGCACAGGAGAGCTGTACAACCGTGTAACACCGTCACTCTGAACGTCGCCCTTGTACACGCTCGGTTTGCCTGTGTGGTAGGTCAGCATCGAGTGCAGCGTCTCCTTGTCAATAAACTTAGGGGTAAGGCCAGCACGCACGACATTGTCGGAGCATGCCATACACTCCATGCAGTCACCAAACAGATACGCGTGAGGCTCATTGGCCCCCAAGAACATCGCCTCGCCGGGTTCCAGTGTGATGTAGTTAAGCAGGAACGGACAGAAACAGCCAATGTCACCCGGATACTCGTCGTCCAGACGGAGCACAAGCTTCTCCAGCGCATTCAAACTTGTTGAGCCCTCGAGACGAGCACGAAGTGTACGCAACTGTGAAGCGACATTCTCCGATTCAGCGTAGACAAAGCAGCGGAAAAAATTGCGCAGAGCTGTTTCATTCTGTTGCACCGCCAATCGCTGAGCAACTGCAAAAAAAAGTCAGTTTTGGAACTTGATAAGTGCATCTCATTTTGCAATTACGAACCCTCAGTATCAACAAGTGCACGAAGCTCAGGAACCGCCTCCAGGTGGGCGACAATTTCGTTTATCTCACGAAATTGGCATCTGTGATAATGGGCAAAACACACTGTTAATGCTTCATTTGCAGCCAAGTTAATGCAATGCAGCTTTACATACAGCGCCTCGAAGCGAGTTAATGCAATCGTCATCTCTGGCTTGTGGTTCGCGTCCTTGTAAATCTGTGGGAATTTTGCGTGTAGCTCGCGAGCCAGCTTGATGTCCGGGTGGGCCTGGATGGACAGCGCCTTGCGCACAGACAGCACTTTGAACAAATATGGCAGGTCTCCCGTGTCGTTGGTATGAAGCATACGGATCCAGTCCCTTAAAAGCGGTGCATCATCGCTATCTTCACGTAGCACTATGGACGGACCATTGGGGTGGGTTCCCATCCTGTAGGTGATGCAGCACAAAGTCAAAAATCTCCCAAGCCATGTCAAAACGTATCCATTTACCAGAGCTCCGCATATGAAGTGGCAGCATCGGCCTTAAATGAATCATCTGCAGCCTCCTGCATTCAGCAAATGACAGCAATTCAGTCGGACAGCTGACAACGAAGGCGTAACATTCCTCGATGAAGTTGTGGCACACGTACCTTGAGCTGCGCGACGGAGCTCTCCAGCCCAGATTTGCCCCACGCGTAGGTCTGCGCGACGCACTGAAGCTCTTGCATTGTTACGAAGATTCGCAGATGATTCAAGCACGATGTAAATGTCGTTATGGCAAGCGATACAGAGGACACGCGCCGCAAGCGTCCTGCGCAACTGCCCAATAACGGACTCCCTCAAGAAAAAAAAACGTATTAAGCATGCGAATCTAATGAGCTTCTTCATTATTGATAATATAGCCAGATATTGAGAAGGCGTTTTAACATTTACGGGTATAACCAATGAGAGTCTGTAAGGTCTGCTTAGTTTAAGTGTTCTATATACTACAAAAATACCCAGTTTGTTTTTCGCAGTCAGACCGTGGCGATGGCGCAGCTGTGTATGGTGTGCGAGACGACCGAGTCCAAGTACAAATGCCCGACGTGTAGAGCTCCATACTGCAGCCTGGCTTGCTGCAAGAAGCACAAGGAGACGCCGTGTGAGCCAGCGTCGGTGCTTGAGAAGTCGCAGGAGTCTTTGCAATCAACGCCAACGCCGGCCAATGCAAAGGACGTGGACGAGGAGGGCGAGAACAATACAGAAACACTCATGGAGGAGCAGATGGATGCACTTAGAATGTCTAATGGCGTAAAAAATATGCTTGCCAATCCAGCCATCACGCAGGCGCTGACACAGGTTTGATCAGCTCCAGTGCAAATACAGGCAGGGAGGGGCCACTGGTTGCAAATGGCTAAAACTGTTTTGTGGCTAAACAGATTGACAGCAGTCAGGACAAGATGAAGATGCTGGAGAAGGCGCTTCTGGATGCTACATTCGCCACATTCATGTACCAAACGTTAGACGAGGTCGTGCTTGCACAATAAACCTGGATACTTCACTTTCTTGAAACTTTAGAACACGCTACGGCATAATTCCCGGGTGCAGATGTTGATGATGCAGTTACTACTATTAACGAAGTATCCTCATAGCTCTATGATACCCAACTGCTATGCATTTAGACGTGGAGCCCCAGCTTCGACGCCGGCGGCTCGAATCATATTTCGATCATACATGTACCCAACGAGTTGGAACTGTACATGTAGAGTTTGAACAAAAACAAATACCGTCGCCTTATTACGTATACTAGCCGAGCGCCGCCGCTACGCGGCGGTAGTTTTGGTTACGTCCCACTTGGTAAGGTCTTTATCGTCCCCGCTTCGCTTCGACGAGCCTATTTTACCGAAATAATAAATAAGCCTAAACGGATTCTTCATTTTCATTACATGTAGTCGGATCACAATTTGGACTACCAAGCACGTTGTTTAACAGTTTCTACAATTAAACTTAGAGAAAGTCGTTTGTCATAAGTAATTTGCAGCCATGTTGAAAAACCATATTTATTAAAACTGACTACAGAATACGAGCGTCCACCATGTTGTTTGCAACGCTATTACGAAACATTGTTTTATTCTGGTCAAATGTGATGATAAGCAGCTACGACTTAATTAAGTAATTTACTAAATATAAATGTATTCTTCTTTTACTACACTAGCCGAGTGCCGCCGCTACGCGGCAGGAAATAATGAATGTCGTTCCTTGTGTTTTGCCTCCGTTCCGCTCGCTACGGCTCGCTTCACTACTCGCATGGTAGGCTGGCAGATTGTGGCTCAGGCGGGCCCATAGGCCCGCAGGGTTGCAGAAAGTGCCGCCTCGCTGCGCTCGGCAGCTTTTAGGCCAATCGGGGCCACCTTCGCTGCGCTCGGCAGCCAGTAGAAATATTAGAATTATTTGATCCAATAATTTGTCCGGAAAAGCGTGACAGGCACGACAATTTAGTGTGACGACAGACAGGTTGCTGCAGGTGATGTTTAAGATGTTTAAGATATAATCAAACTTTACTAGCGCTCTGGGCGCCCGCTCCGCGGACGCTAGGGCATGGTTGGTTGGTTTAGAGAGGGTTGACCACCTCCGCTGCGCTGCAATGGCCTTAGAGTTTCTACTTAGAGCGAAACTACATATAACATATGTATACTGTGATCTACTTATGTTACGGTTCAAAACAACACTGCACCCAATATCCTTAGTGTTCACGTGTTATGGTAAACGTGACCAGGGCTTAGCGTGATCTGCAAGATGAGCACCATCTTACATGAAACGGGGTACAATCCATTGTGCCCCATGTTACATAAAGAGTGACCCGTCACTCTTGTGGACACCTGGTACACGGTACCAGGTGCTCTCGGAGCCAGTCAGTGCATGACTACTTAGCTCCACTATAGGTAACCTCTAGTTTGTATGAGACCCAAGCTTATCTTACTTATAAATACATCAGTCTTAAATATACTCTTCTAAGTAGCAAACCGTTCCCTTTGAGGGCAGGAACACGTGGACTAACGTTCACTCGGGTAGTTAATACCCTTAAGCACTTCCTCTGAGCGAGGTGCTGTGTGACCCCGTCACACTTGGTAGCACTCGTAGTCAATCCAACACCATCGCGGGTAGATTGAGCTACCTGAATCCTCTGTGCGCTCAACGTTGAGCCACGATGGACCGAAGCGAGCTTCCCCGCTTGAACGACTCACAGTACGAGTCTGTTCGGAAGTTGGGAGGCATCTTTGGACAAGATGTCCTTCGCAGCTTGGCGGCGGCGACGCCTGTCGAGCAACAAGAACGCGTGACCGCGTTTGAGACCTACGAGCGTGGTCTCATCGCTCACGTCCGCGGGAGCTTGGAGGCCACGATGGCCGCTCCCCAGGCAACCAGGCATAAGCCGGTATGGCTGAAGGTCCCCGCGTTTGAGGGGAAGGAAGGAGAGAACCTTCACTTCTGGGTCCGTGAGGTGGAGATCGCCATAAAGGCGGGTTTCATCTCGGACGAGCCAGCTCGGGTGGCGTTTGCCCTGTCCAACCTTGGTGGACGTGCCAAACACTGGGCATACACCAGGGAAACGACATCTCCTGGATGCTTTGCATCCTGGACTCAGCTGTGTGAACAGCTTCGAGCCACGTTCCTACCGGCGAACAACGAGTTCCGCCAGCGCTCACGCTTTCTCGCGTGAATGCAAAGTAAACGTGAGCTGCAGCAGTACGCGCAAGAAATGCGCACGTTGGTGGCATCTCTGGCAGGGAATCCTCTGCCTGAAGACGTTAAGACAACAGTCTTCATGGACGGCCTGAGGGTCGGTCCTGCTCGCATCCAGCTATTCCGGGTGCAAGCGACAACTATGGAGGAGGCGATTTAAATCGCCCTCCAAGAAGAGTACAACCACAAGCAGGCCGGGACTCCTCGGAAAGGGGAACATCGCCATGATGAGGATGGCGTTCCTCGGAAGGCGGAGCATCGCAGCAATGACGCTGTTGCTCCTGCTGTCACGCAGCCCGTTGATACCGGTGCGTACAGCGAGCCCGATCCCATGGACTTAAGCTCAGCCGAGAGCTTGGACCGCTGCTATGGATGCGGCGGACATGGACACTACCAGCGTGTGTGTCCCTCGCCAGTCCTCGGGAAGAGGACAGCCCGTGGACCCCAAGTCCGGTGGCGCAGGCCACGGCCAGGTGGACGAAGACTCCCCGGCCACCAGTAGAGGCGGTATACCCTACTGAAGAGCGCTAAGTCTTCGTGATGGGTGTGCAGGTTGTGCACACCACGGGACTTAACCCAGAGAGACGTGATTATCTCAAACCGGTGAAGGGCAGTGATGGGCTGCTGGTAGTACACTCAGTGCACGGGGGTACGGTACCCCTTGAACGTTTGATGAGTTCTGGGGCGTTGATACGCCGCCGGAACGTCGCTTGGCATAGCGACACCCGACTGCACTCTATGTCAGAGTGGCGGTCGTGGGCTGGTCCTTGGTGGACTAGCCTTTGGTACGGTGAAGGAAGTACCAATGGTCCTCAACAGACCTGAACGTTTCGGCTCGATGAACTCGCGCACCGCGGTGTCGCTCGCAGTTCTCGCCATGAACAACATGGCTGTGTCGAACATAAGGCACAGCCCGGACTTTAGTGTGGCAAGGCTGAGAAGGGCCTACCAGTCCAGGTCTATGACGGAGCATTGGTGAGTCATGTTCCCACCTCCGTCATGACTGGGGGCGTCTGATACAGACCGCCAGGACGCAGAAGCGTCACGGAGCTGTCAACGCGCCGACAGCTCTGCGTACAGCAAGACCATGCTCCGCTGCGGCAATGCTACGGGCGTGGGTCTTTTGTCCGGCGTGTGGACCTATTACACCAGCAGCGTCCAACACCGAAGGTCGTCGCACCGTACGGGCTTCGACAGTGGTTATACCTTTAAGCGCTAACCAGGTGGGTAACTTAGGATCACACGGTCGCCCAGACCTTAACTGAAGAGGAAGGCGCTGAATGCGCTTCCTGTGTGGATAACACAGTACCACACACAGTCGCCCAGACTATAACTGAAGAGGAAGGCATGACCATGCTTCCTGTGTGGGTAACACAGTGCCGCACGAGGTCTCGAGTGCCTCTGATGTCGTCATCGAGACATCACGACGTGGGTTACAAAGTGCCACGTCACGTTAATCGCCGCAAGTCGGGTCTGAACCTTGTTCAGGCCGACGTCGCTTCAAGCGACTCGGCGTTCAGGACCCGGACTCCTCTGACTCGGTCGGTGGACACCAACTCAGTCCGGTGTGTGTGCAGGTCTGCCACTCCAGCTGATCCCAACACCGAAGGTCATCGCGCCGTATGAGCTTTGACAGTGGTGGTGCCGAAGGGCATTCACCAGGTGGGTAACATAGGTCCACACGGCGGATAACAAGTTCCGCAAGCAGCGAAGCTGCTTAAGGAGACCGACATTCGGTGCTCCGAGCGTGGGTAACATAGGTCCACGCAAGGTCACTAGACTATAACTGATAAGGAAGTCGCTGTATGCGCTTCCGGTGTGGGTAACATAGTTCCACACCCAAGGTGGGTAACATAGTTCCGCACACAGAGCCATTGGCTCGAGGCGCGAGGCTGTCTTGGCCTCGCCAGACGTGAGCAACTCGCTCGACGTCAAGTCGCGCAGACTCAAACTGCTGACGCGAAGGCTGGGTGCCTTCGGGCGACACAGCCGACGCGGTCGTCCATACCGACGCAGTGCACAGGGCGGAGAGCCGTCGCACCTGCCAGTGGCTATCAGAAGCCACGAGAGACTCAGTAGTCTCGAGGTTAAGTGGGGGAGAGGCTCGGAAATACCTTTCCTCCCTGACTTTCCACGAGGCAGGTAGCCGTCGTGCTGTCAGTGGTTATCACAAGCCACGAGAGACTCAATGGTCTCAAGTGTAAGTGGGGGAGAGGTTCGGAAATACCTTTCCTCCCTGGTCTTGAGGTAAGACCAAATTCCTTACGGAACCATGCGTCGATGTTGTGGTGAAGTGCTTTTTCAGAAATAAAAGAATGGGCCTGACGCGGGGTCACTATCCCGAATCAGTGACAATTTCAAGTGATAAGAGAAGTTTTGGGTTGGCTGGCACGGATGCAAGTTGCCTGTGGTGGATTAGCCATGGCGAGCAGCACCCCGTATGGAATGACGATGGATCTGGTATGAGCGACGTACGAGAAGGCAAGATCCACCTAGACTTACCTCGGATCCACCCTTACCTGGATTCACTAAGATGGATATGGGATATACTATACAAGAGTGGATCGAGTGTGGATCGTATGAAGGAAGGATGGTCGGTGCCCTCTGAAGGTGGATCTAGTAGCCACGGCTAATGAAGAGTCAAGATCCACCGCGAGGTACCCCGGATCCCATACTTCCGAGTTCGGATCCAAGGAGGGAGGATCCCGCCTGGAGGGACCTGGATCCAGGGTATAGGGATGATGGATACAGTAGATCTCGAACTTTCGTGGGACAATGGAGATCACAGACGGTTGCGAGATGATGTTGGATGATGGGAGAGCTCAGATCGACG